GTAGGGTGGAGGGACAGCACAGGAGGGGAAGGCCCTCTATGAGGTGGATTGATTCAGTGACTGGATTAATCGGGATGGGAGTGTCAGAGACAGGGTGATTGGCACAGGACAGAGCAGAGTTTAGGGCTGTTGTACATAGGGTCGCTATGAGTCACAAGCGACTTGACGGCACATAACAACAACAACTATGAATAAGTGGTCAGATTACAACATAAAACAGTCTTCATTATTGGGCCAATAAGCTACATCATAATAAATGAAGAACTTAATTAAGTTGTCAAGGATTTCATTTTACTTGGATCCATAATCAATGTCCATGGAAGCAGCAGTTGAGAAAAAGGAAAAAGAATGCCAATGATGAATTCCCAGAGGTATGCAGTTCAAATCCGCCAGATTCTCTGCTGGAGAAGGAGGTTCAATCTCCTCCTGTGCCAGTCAGATCTGATTTGGCAGTACACACACACACACACACACACACACACAAATAAAATTTTTTTAAGAAAGAATCTCAGTTATGTGCTGCATTGGGAAAATCTTATGCAAAAGATCATTGCATTAGAACAGATGAAAGAAAGAGCTGTCATGGTACTGGTACAATGACAGACACATAGATCAATGGAATAGAATTGAGAATCCACAAATCAGTCCATCTACCTATAGTCAACTGATTTTTGACAAGGAGATGAAATTAGTTAGGTGGAGAAATCACAGCCTTTTTAACAAATGGTGTTGGCAAAACTGGAAAACTATCTGCAGAAAAATTAAACAAGATCCATACCTCACTCCATATACAAAAACCAACTCAAGGTGGATCATGGACCTAGGACTAAAACAAGGACTATAAACTTCATTCAAGAAAAGCTTGGAAGAACTTTAATAGTCCTAATCCACAACATAAAGAGTCTCCCAAGTATCCTGAAAAATTTAGAACCAGGAGAAGATAAAATAGATGAATGGGACCTTTTAAGAATCAAATCCCTATGCACATCCAAAAACTTCTCCAACAGGGTAAAAAGGGAAGCCACAGACTGGGGAAAAGTCTTTGGTAATGACATGTCAGA